ATTGACAAACTTGTAGACAAAATCGATGAATCGATGTCGATTATTCCGATAGGCATCGATTGTTTTCATGGCCTTTTTTTATCCGATGCTAAGAATCGATATTAATTTCGGAATTTTTGCACTGAAAGTAAATTTTTGTTCAATATACCTGAGCTGGATGAATATTATTTGTACATAGATCAATTAACTGCTGTAATTACACATGTGCCCTCGAAAACCGTGCGTATGTGTGCGTGAAAGCCTTTTGTAGCGACCTCGCGTGATTGACATGCCAAAAATTATGATAATGTGATGTTCACATGACAAACGATGAATTCATACGCCATGTTGGCCCGCCATGTTGGTGTGAACATGCGCAAGCATTGCGACTCCCGCGGCAGTTGCGCGTCCACAAGGACATGTTGCTGGCGGGAGCATGCGGCAGAGGGCCCCTCGTGTATGCAACATAATTGAAAGCTGCATGCGTCAACATAATTTTCTGACAACTTTAGTTAAGCATGTAAATTAAGTTAAAAATAACGATGACATTGGTTACATAAGCGCAAATGCATGCACAAACTGCAACAAAACTGAGCAGAGCGGAGCTTAGACCAGGCCAGACCAGGCCAGCCCAGGCCAGGACATTACGGGCCGAGACTCAGCCGGGCTGAGGCATGCCACAGCAGGAGCGCTGGCTGGTTGCCCGACCCTCTGCCTGTCCGTCACTTTGCTCATTTTTCTGTTGGAACACTGGCACGGCTGCTCGTAATTGGAGCGTGGAATATCACTCTTCATGTTATGACATTTTTTCGCCAACAGCGAATTAATTGTGCACAGCAATAAATTTCGAGTCAGCTCAAAAAATAATAATCTAGCCATAAGTACTTGTTTCATGCCATTATTTTGTTCAGCGATCAGGCATAAAATCATCGAAAGGCTTCTCTTTTGGAAACTCACTTCAGACTCGTCTGTATCTATATTTGAATGCAGTCAAAATACCGATAAATACTGAGGTGCTAAAATTTTTCTTTTCACTTTTATATATTTAAGCATAAAATAAAGCTGCGGAAAATTCACCACAAACTTACGATACACGTTCGAACCCTAAACTGGATTATATGCATAAAGAACAGCCCGAACCTCAACATGAACCAGTCCAAGTTTTTGGTTTGATTAAAAATATTATTAAAAAAGAAATTTATTCAATTCAATAAGAATATAGTGTTAATATAATTATTTTTATTTCATGTTAATTGAAAGTCATATTTAAATACGAGGCATTCGATTTGTAAAAAAACACTTTGGAAGCTCATTAAAGCTAACCAAACCCTTCTAATCGTATATTTATTTATTAAAAATGGAATTAGATTCATTGAATTAAAGTGTTTTTCTTATTTTTGCAGTACGTTTTTCAAAATTGTTTGCAGTGCAATATCTTGCCCACCTTCGAAGTATTTACATGCAACACACACCGACTACCTGTGCTGGCTCTGTATGCTGCAGTGTTGCGGCTGCCGCAGCGACTGCGTGGCTGTGGTAGCACACACATCAACTTTTGCAACGGCCCCCCTGCCGGTCTCCTCTCCCAACACGATATGCAAAGCAAACCGTTAAGCAGCAAAAGAAACCGACGCCAAGGTTACCAGCGCTACTCGCCCATATATTTCATATGTGCATGCTATTAGTGTGTGTGCGGGTGTGCGTGTGTGTATATAAGTATGAGAAGACACACCCACACAGACACGAACACAGCGCTAGTTTATAGACGCTAGTCGCAACGCTAAGACAAAGCATATAATGGAAATGTTCACAATTTCTTGGCTACCCATTGGTTGCATGGCTGCATGAGGCAGCCGCTGCAACAAGAAAAATAAAAAACAAAAATATGAAAATATGTAAAGAAAAAATAAAAACTAGATGAAATATGTGCGCTCGTTAGGCTTTGGAAGCCAAGAATATAAGACACTTGTCTGACAGTCAGATTGTTTCGAATATTTATTAAGCAATATGAACGCGCGACAGCCCAAGATTATCTAAATATCACATGTGTAATATGCAAATTAATTGACTCAGCAGGACACTTGGTGAGATCGCTTTAAGTGAATTAAGCACGGAACAGGTTCTCATACACCTGTCAAATGCTTAATATCCATTCATCCACAAAACTATCGCTAACACATTGCGTTACGCTCCATGGCCATTTACTCCATTGTCATCCTCAATCTCGTTGTGATTCTCATCGGCAGCGTCGTCATGGATGGCGAACAACTTTTGCGTTAGCCATTGAAGTATACTTTGCACCCCCAGGCTCCAGCCACAAGCATATCTACTGGCTACAGCAACAACAACAGGGACAACAACAGGGACACTGGGCACAACTGTTATTAACGAGAACGCCCACAATGCCCGTAAAGTGCTTCATATTACGCCACTAATTGCATAATTTCGTTGCCATTTTTATTAGTCTCTCAGTGCGATGGTCTCGCCTTTGATGTCGCCAGCAGAGCAGCAGCCACTGAAGCATTCAACAGACCATCGACCAGAATTTACCATCAATGTACCATTTGGCAGCTATCCGGTGTTAGTACTCCCCATGAGGGTATGGGTAGCGGCTAGAGGTTGTTGGCACTTTCCGTGCCATTTAAGTTAGAGGAGAGTTCGAATGGGCTAACGAAATGCGAATGGTCGCCCACAAATGTCATTGGATTATTATAAAACTGGAGTATTTATTGCATAACATGTTCAGACACATTCATTGGGGCATCTATGGTCGCTGAGCTGTCATCGATTCGCCACACTGCGATTCAGTTAGACGCGGTTCGGTGCGGTTCAGTTGACTAAACTGGTTACTAGACATGTGCATTGGCACGGCTGAACCGCAATTCTAGATTTAGTTTTTAATATGAACTGAAACTTAAATATCAAAAACTAATGTAATTAGTATGAACCACAAATATAGTTGAACCAAAACCCGAACCGAACCAAATTTTTTGAAAGATTTTCTGTTGCAAAATAAAAATACTTTTGAGGGGGACTCAGGCCCAGAAGATATAAGCCTTGAGTCCCGAACATTAGAATTATCGAACCATATTTGGGAGATGCCAATATTGGTTCGAGTTAAAATCTAGCCCTTAGAAAATATCGACGACTTGCAATATTTTCAGTGGAACGGGCAATTACAAATATCAAATAGAATTAAATTTTGAAAATTTTTTTTGAATGTGCCTAATCGGCTTCACCAATGGAACCTTCAGGCAGTAAGTCGGTGTGAACTGAACTAACAGCCATTTTTCCACGATTAACGCGTTTACATATGGGCTTTGACGAAAACAATTGGCTGCATCTTGAAGATTTAGTTTTTCCAGACTTGTAAAAATATAAACACAGCTAAACAGCATTTAAAAAACATATTTTCAACCTTCTTTTGGAACGTTCAGCTCCAGTCAAGGAAGATGCGCATATAAATGTCTGCTTGTATTTAGTTCTGAGTGCAAGTCCTGCTCGATTAAGCAGAATTTTTCAAAGAGAATTGAAATGATAGCCAGGGGGGTAGGGGGAGAAGGGGAATTGGCAATGGGAAATGTTATTGGCGCCTTATTGCTGCAACGATCTGCTCTTGGCAATGGTCAATTTACCGATTTGGGCATGGTTGGCAACCATAATTTGGTGGTATTGTAAGCCTTCATCCAATTGTTGCAGTTAAAGTTGTTGTTGTTGTTATTATTGTTGTTGCTCTTGTAGTCATCCCATTTACGCATCCTTTGTAAAGCATTGCAAGCTTTGCTGCCGCCCCGAAGCACCCACACTGTCCACACATTGGGTGTATAAATGTTTCTGTTGCTTTGACTCGTAGTGGCATGCTCCCACTTTGAGACTGAATTCAATCCTTACCATAGATACAGCTTTCCGTTGTCAAACGCTTTGCTTCGATTTGTGTGCGTCTATGTGTGCGTAAATGGAGTTGTTTAAATTTTACAAGGGTTCATTAAGCAGCGAAAATATTACGTTGAGCGTCAATGCAAGGATGCGCTTTGTGTTCGAGTTCAAGACTTGGTCCAAAGTCCAATTATTTGCAAAACAATATTATTGAATAGACAAATTATAAAATTATTGAAATTGTATTGTAAAAAGTCAATAAACCAGATGCTTAACTTAGATGCTGACTTAAATGGACAGACAAAATTGCTTCATTTGATTTTAATTTGGATCTTTTAGTTCAAGTGCTATTTTGTAAGCTGCATTTATTATTTGCATAGTTTATTGTTTTGTATTATTTTAAGTCTTGCAGTCATATTTGACAGACGCTTATTAAACATTACGTTCGGTTTCAGCTGACTATCGACAATAGCTTTATTTTTCAAATCATTTGTGTGTATCAATATTTCGTTTTATTTGAAACGCCTCTGGGCAACAAAAATTGTTGTTCGGTCTAGTTTTGTCCAATGTTTGAATTTATCTGCAAATTTTGTGCTTTCTGTTGAAAATGCATAATTAATTGAATTATACTCAAATTAGTATATCAATAAGCTAGCGTGACTTTTTCTGAAATGCACATCCCGTAGATAGCCTGTACCCAGAACTCAGCTGCCGTAATACGCATGAACTTTTCGTCTTGTACACAAATATTCATACAAGCTGTGCTTCTTCTTGTCTCAGTTCCACATTTTGGAAGATAAATTATTGAATACCTTTTAGGGAAAATTGGAGACGTATTTAAGAAATAGCAAATAGGGAGGTACCTATAGAGAGCTGTGTATACTAAACTGAGAATAATCTGGGAAATTGGCTCAGAAAGTTCAGTTCGAAGATCGATGCAAATGGGTCAAGTTGCTAACGATTTGAAATAGGTTTTATCTGGGCTTGCATAAAGCGTTCCAAGTTTTAAGGCATCTAGCTCGTATAACCTCCGAAATCTTAAGTAAGTCAACACCAATAGACATTGGGCTGAAAAAGTCATCTGCCAGCTATTGCATACACTTCTAAATTGTTAAGGGGCACATTGTACACTAAAATCAAGTAGCTTTTTTGTTGCTTTAAAGTTTAATTGGTTGTGGCTTTTGTAATAGATCCGAAACAGTTTACGATAGACGTTTTTTTTTTTGCGATCGTCACAGCACAGCACCATACATTACAGCTCAGCTCTATTGAATTGCACAAAATCGGGCTTTTTTACATATTTTCTTTGTGCGCCGTGCCTATGTTAAATTGGGAATATTTAGATATATATCAAAGTATACAAACTACGGCTGCAAATACCAGAAATTTCTGTTTCTTCACATCGGAGAGGCGACACCAGGCGCGCGCGGCCTTTTGTGCAAGATCCGGTCCTGACAGCTCTTGTGGTCTTTCGCAATATTCGCGTAGAAATTGCAAATATGCTTTGTTCATAGTTAGATTGGGCTTGCAGCATTTATTGTGTTTAATGCTAATTCGAGAACTACGCTTCCGGCTCACGCAGTTCAATTTGGGTTTCTTGAGACGCGATGAGGGGGTCTTCCTATCGCGCGACCTGGCTGCCGGCGTGCTCTTGGTCTTGCGCGTGCTGGACTTTGACCTTGAATTGGGCTTCTTTCGCTTAATTGAGTTTTTGGGCTTTGAAGCCGACTTCAACTTTGATCCCGAACACCTTGATCTCCCTCTAGCTTTTCTAGTAGCGGTGAATAAGGAGCTGGCCTTTGGGAAAATTTTGAAATTAATGTCTTTAATTTCTAGCTTGGCGTTTCGTTTACGGCACTTACCGCTTCTGCTGTAGTCGACGCTACTTCTGTTTCGGGGATCTGTAATGCTTCGCATGGCAAGTCTTCATTTGCGCTGCCCAATGACCCATTGCTAGGACTTGCATCTGCGTAATTCTCATCCATGGTATAAAGTCTAAAGAAGTCGAAGGAAGACGTTATCACACATATAGCCAGCGTCAATAAAACCCAACTTGTACTTACCAATTATAAATTCTTTTACTAGGAATATAAAAAATATTAGTCCCTTGAAAAGAACACTAAGACTAAACAATTTGTTGAAGTGTTGTTTCCTTGATGGAATGTGATTTGGAACTGGTTTTTTTAGAAAAAATTCAGCCCACGTGAGCTACACAGTGACAGTTGGGACGGAGGCAATTGGCACCTCTTTTCAAATCAAGTCAAATCTTATAGTTCGAATTAACAAGAATATATTCTACCATCAAGGTACTGGTTACACTGGTTTTTCCCCAATTGAGTAATCTTTATGGAATTGGTAGAGATTTAGGTGAGTTAAGTTTCAAAAGTTTAAAATAAAAAAACTAAAATCTTGCCAATGAAAAATTAAAAAAAATAAACAACATTTTTTTATTAGGGTCCTCAAGTCCATAAAAAATCGATTGATTTCATCGAACGAGTCGCTGCTTAGTATTCTTTGTCCTAGGGCTCAAGTCATGGAGCATGACAACTATTAAAATCGGTAGCCGGAGGAGCCCGAATCGTCATTTCCATGATCGCGTGCTTGTGCTCAGTCGCGGCGTTAAATGAAGAGCCGCACTTTTCCGCTCAATTCAACAAAATGCCGCATTTCCTTCACCTACGTACGTGCTCGGCCAGTTCCACAGACAGATATATGAGACAGCGAAAGCGAGAGACAAAGAGCGGCAGCACTCGAGAGTCGTGGCGCAAGCGAGATGGAGCATATGCGGAGATTACGTATGCAGCAATGCATGAAGTTTAAAAAGTTTCAAGCGCATAAGCCACAATGGCCACGTCTCTCCAGGCTTGACATTTATTATCTGCCGGTTTGGCCCCAAAATGAAGTTGTGGCCGCTTTCGTCTTCCAAACGTTGTCACATACGCACACCAAGACACACACACACACACACACACACATATGTGGAGAGGCGCGTGAAGCAACAAGGGGCAGTGGGGCCCAGGGGATCTGACATCCCGTCGCTGCTCGTTTGCGGTCGACGTCGTCGTCGACGGCATTTGCATGCCCGGCTGGCCATTTAACGTGTCCGTATCCGTGTCCGTGCTCTTGAGTTGGAGGTGTAGAGGCGTGGTCGTGGCCCTTTGATTTCGTTAGGCGAAACTCGGCGACTCCTACGCCCTTTTCCTGCTCGACCCGCTCCTATGGGACGCCGCCCATTACAGAGTCCGCACACGTTTTTCGTAAATGTGCATTTTTCGCTAAATGTTTTGTAAATGTTTCCGTTCCCAACTTTATAATTAGTTGGCATGAGGGCGGCGCTAAAGAAAACGCAGCGTCGCATCGCATCGCGTCGCGACGCATTGCAGCGCAGCAGGAAACGGAAAAACGAGAGAAAGCACTGCGGATATTATGTAAGTTAAGCGGCTGGCACATTCAGCTGGGTCGAGGGTCCATAGCACGCAGCAAATGTCGACCCAATGTAACACCATGTCAGCTGCAAGACAAGTGCAGCTCTAGCGCCAGCTCCAGCTCCAGCTAAGACATGCAGATAAGTGCATGCATAGACTACAGAGAGACGTGACTAATATGATAGCACGAGAAACTCACATCTCTATTAGATAATATTACGCGGCACAGCAGACATTTGGATGAATTCAGAATATACGGACTCCGATTAACCAGAATTACACATGAGTCTATATTGAAAATGTTCTAAAACCGTTATTATAAAACAGCGATTTCAATAAAATTTGCCTTTACAACACTGAACATTTTTTTCCTTTTTGAATATGTTCTATTATTATTTTCAATTTTAACATCTGAGATCTCAGCTTCAAGCTTGGGTTCTCAAATTCTTTACAATTATGAATAGGATTTAATTTATATATCTCAAAAATGTATGAATATTTATCGAAACTTATTTATTTTCATATTCACAGTGCTGGAAAACAAGAAAATTTTCAAGTAGCCAAATAAAACAATTGTTGTAAACCAACCTGTTTTTTAAAAAATATCATCCGGCTTTTAGTAGGCTAATTTGACTGGAGTTCGGTTCATACTCTTTGCCCTGCATCGAAATTTGGGAAAATTCGTATTTAAAGTGTTCGACTTAACTGGAATTGTCATTCTATACATTTATTTATTTTTAAAATGGCCAACCCAGTTTTTCATAAACCAAAACATTTTTGCAAAATATGATTCGGATGTTTTTCAGCTAGGCTTAAGTTAGGTTCGGTTCATGTTATAAAATAAAAATTGGAATTCCAAACTGGTTCAAAGAAAAAGTTCTGCATTTTCTCTTCTTTTAAATATTAGCACAGCACATCTTCCATTTCTCTTCTATGCACAAATAAGAATATAGATATAAATAATGAAGATTTTTACCTTTGCAGCCTGTCGCTTTGTGGGCGCCAGGTTTGAAACCTTCGGGGCTGTTTAATTAGATTTTCAGGAGAGATGTGCGCCGCGTGATTGAGGATTGAGCATTGAGTCGCAGCTGAGCGCGTCACGCAACGTTGCGTTGCGGCGCCTCCTATTGAAGTTTTAATTAAAAGCAACTACACGAGTTGCTGCCTCGCATTGGGCAAACGATTGCATCCATGTTGCTTCTTTTTTTGTAGCATTTGTAGCACCTGCCGCCGCTGCTGCCACTGGCAACTTATTAAAAGCTGTCGGCGTTATGCTAATTAGGCAGCGCAGCCGACAAATTGTCGCCGCAAATCAATCAGTGTATGCTCCCCGCAATCCGCGCGGTTTCCTGACGCCCTTACAGCCAAAAAAAATAAAAGTTAAAAAGCTGGCGGGAGCAGCCAAATTAACGGTCCCTCCGCCAACACATGCTGATTAGCGTAGTCGGAGCATAGGCCGACAGCCCGCCTAATTTCAATTTTCAGCTGACGCGCTGAAAACTATGCAGCAAATAAACCTCCACCAGCCCCCTCACCCTATGATCTGATATTATGGACTATGGGCGAACGTTTTATTTTTGAATGCGTGTTTTGTCGTTTTTGAAAATTCCACCGCACGGGCGACAAATTATCGCTAAGCTGTTGATGGCGACCTTTTGTGTCTCGTCTGAAAAACTTCAATCTCATTTTCAAACTCTTATGGAAAACTGAATTTAATGGCAAAGTGATATTTATAATTTACATTTATAGGTAAGTTAAGCCGGGAAAAATCCGCTATATATAATCCTGTCTCCCAAACGACAAAGTTTACTTTACTCTTTTATTATATTCCCACAATGCGCAGCCAATAAAAACTAAAACGTAAAATGTAGAGCAAAAGTTGTACGGTTTAGTATTAAATAAATTTAGCTAGTTTCTTCCAGCGGGAGCTGCTTTAGCCACAGCAGGCTCCAAGAGCGCAAAGTTAAATGCGCCGAAGTGTGTTGATGAGGAAACGGAAATGGAATATGAACGGAAATGCCGACCAGAGGCGCAGCAGCTGTCCGAGCTGTTTCGTGCTCGACTTGCACTTGAAGCCAAAAGGTGTTTATTGAAACGTTAACCGCTTCCAACTGAAGGTCAAAACGATTGCTGCATGAACGCTTCACTTGGCGCCCAGCTAACAGCAGGGGGCGTGGCATTGTAGAAACTTTAAAGGATTGGTCGCTGCTGAGCCTCCAGTTAAAGAGGAATAGAGCAAATATCGAGACTTGTCAAGCAAGACTCGACAGTCAACAACAGCCGCGGCCTGCGCCTGGTCCAACGTGTATCTCTCTGGGGCACCGAAATGGATGTGCGACATTATTAGCTATTTCAGCGGGCAAAAGGCAGAAGGCACAAGGCAGACAACTGAAAAAGCTGCCACTGAAACAGACAAGTAAACGAGTTACGCGCGCCAGGAAAGCGGCTGCCGCTGCTCCTGCCACAGAGTTTGCCATTGCCATTGCCATTGCCATTGCTGGCAGCAACCAGCAATACACAACACGCGCAGCAGCAACATTGACAACGCCGTGTTTATATGCAACATTGACAACATGGCGTGACGCGAGTGATGCCAAGCTGCAGCAGCAGCAGTAGCAGTAGCTCGTTACCATCAGCATTCCTATTACCAATATTCCTGCTGCTGTTCACAGGCAAGTCATAAAAGTTTTCGGACTTAGATTGTCGCCGTTTTGGGCGTCTAGCTGTGCTAGCTGAATATCTAAAAAGTTATGCAAAATTCAAAATACACTGCTAATGCCAGCGAAACTGCGAAAGCAGATCGATCGACCACGCACATCGGTTAATCAGCAGCAAATAAAACCCTAAAGCCACATATCATTATATTTAATAATTGGACTAATTAGGACAGTTGTTTAAGCTGTGCTTAAACTTAGAACTTGATTCGGAGGTGGGATTGTGTATATTTATAAATATACAAATTTTAAAAAGAAGCCTCATATAATATTAATAGATTATAATCTAAAAATATAGCGATAAACGGCCTGAATTGATTCGACTTAATTAGGATTTTCAATCAGCTGAGGATCTTGGTATATGATATTTGAGCATATTTCTAGCGGTTCGATGGCAAACTCTGAGACTACAGCGTATGTTAATATGGTATACCATATACGGAGTAGAGCATCTCAGACAGGAGCTATTTTGCATAAACCTACCGGAGCTGGTGCAGCATCTTTGGCAGTTTCGCTGCTTGAATGCGTGCGTGTGTGTGTGTGAGTGTGTGTGTGGTGTGTGTGGCTGTGACTATATTACATTTTATGTCAAATGCGCACGCTTTCAATATTGACAGACGCCAGCACGAGACACGGAAACGGATGGGGACGCCACCTGTTCCGGATCCAGGTCCGGGCAGGGGGTGGCTGCTACGGCGGCTGCGTCGGCATGTCAAGCTAATGTTAACTTATTTTCGTATTTTGGCATACCTTGCAGCATGCCGGATGTGCCACACCCACACCCACAACCCTCAACCCACAATCCACAGCCCGCCCATCTTGTTGTCAAACTTATTTTCAAATAAAGAACACATTTTTCGGAGACAAGCAGCTGTGTGCGGCCAGATGCCACGCCCACCCAGCCGCTGCTTCAGCAATGCATTTTAATTTAGCAGCTGTCTTAGAAGGGCTCACCGATGGGCTTAATGGTCAGCTGATGCACCTGGACATGGGGCGGTGTGCCCAGGGCGTACATAATACCAGCCGATATGTCCTCCGGCTGCAGCATGGGCAGATTGTTATAGTCGCCGGGCAGGATCTCCGT